AAATTAGTTTATCCTAGAGATACATGTCTTTCCTGCATGATTATAACAAAATAATCAGGGTTTTATCGTTGATGAGCAGCAGCTCATGGTTTACCACAGATGCCACAACGCTTTGTGATAATTTTGTATCGGACATCGAAATTTCTGCGAAAATCATCGTTGCCCTAATTTGAATGTTCAGACAGAGATGGAATCATTTAATTAATTGCTATAGGTCAACAATGGAGATTGGCTTAATTAACATTATAGTATCATTGGTTATTTACGCTAATGTTTCGAGTAGACGGCGTACAATTACGCCATACAATTGCACACATTTCGCTATACGAGAAATCGTTTTGTAAGCTTTATAAACCTAGTGCCGAGTCTATGCTGTAATTAAATGTCATGCTTGAATAAAAAAGGATCACATTCATCATCGCACAATGTTATTTCCACGTCGTTGCACTTATCTGTCTGCGATTAAATAGTGTGATATAATTTTTGTAAATTTTGTATGTGTGTAGACACTATGGTTAAAATTGAATTTATGTATGTAATTAATTGGAATGAAATTGTAAAATATAGTTTTGTAGATTCCAGAAATGAATAACAAATATTACAATAAACGAATACAATTGGTTTTCAATTATTATAATAAAGTAATTAGCGGGATAGAATAACACAAATTCCATTGTTTTAATTAGATATAAAATATAAATCATCATTTTTTTTCTTTTATAAATTAAATATATAGCTTCTATACTTATGAGAAAAGAAGTTTATTGAAAATTAGCAATCTTTGAGAAAGTGTCATTACTTACTAATTAACATTTATTTCTTGCTCAAATATCTTAAATCTTATTGCACAAATATCTTGAAGACTAATATGGTAATCTATCGATTACGAACACATACTAGGTCAATTTCTGGTAACTTGATCTACAAATGGACTGTCGGCTAATTTGTTCTCCAAGCGTACATACATTACATGAAACAAGCTGTCAGACGGCAGCAAATTGCCAGTAGGATCACTTGCCAGCCCTTTCAGCCAATTGAAACCAACTATCTCTATAGGATTGAGGGCAAGAGAAATGCAATTGCAACTGTAAATTAACGTGCATTACTTCAGAAATTTAGAAAGCCAAAGTCCTGGCCTTTCTTATTTTTTATAAATAATATGCATATTTTTTATAAGTAATGTTAAGAATTAACATTTAAAAAATGTTAATTCTTAACATTTTTAAAAATGTAATAAAACACACAAATAGAGATATATTTAATGTACATATATTGATTGAAATTTTCATATAAATTATTGTCTTTATAAGCTTATTTAACAATAAGTGACGCTATATATTGACGCTATGAATCAAAAAAGATCTTTTATCAAACAATAGATCAAAAAAGATTTTTATCTATAATTAAATTAAGTTAAATTTCATTGGTATTTATCGCATGTATAAAAATATTTCTTAGCTCTGCCACATATCCTTAAATCAAATAGATTCTAGAGAAATAAAAAATTATTAATATATAATTTATCTCTCGAAAAAATTATTTATACATTAAATTTATAAATATAAAAGTATTTAAATGTGTATAAAAAGTTAGATATTTTATAATTCTGCTAAAGTTAAGAATAAAAAAGATAAACTACAATAGTATTTTTTCAAACAAATGCCATATAACACATGCACGGCTACAGTATATATGTTCAACCACATATTGAGCAATCTCGTAGCCATCTACTGACATCAGCCGTCGTCCGATATGCTGGTCTGCTTTGAAGCGGGACACTTGGGATGTAACGAGATGTACACTATCGCGATTCGGGACACGCTCTATCCGGCAGGTGCCGAGCGAAACGGACAAAGGATTCGATTTCTGGGAAAGGGAAACGATTCCAAATGTCGCAAGCCGCTGAAGGCGACAGCTTGATTCGATGAATCGGCCACGACGGTATTCCCATAAAGAAACAAGATGGGAGTGCGAGTGTACTAAGTATACGTTTTAAGATGGTTACCATGGTGACCATTGGCGTATGGCCAGGAAAAAGCTCTGATATCTAAAGGGGCCAGGATCGGTCTGGCCTCGTTTCGAGCCATCCCCGAAACACTCTCCCAGAAGACCTTAACCGAATATTTTCGCCACGAACTAACTTATCTCCAAGTAATTGTTAACCCTTTGGCGTACGTTGTTCTCGTCATCATATCGCTATGAAGATTTTAATGGAACTTCGAACTAACTTTTATTTAGCTACGATCGAAATAATTGATATAACGAGTTTGATCCCTTGGTTCGCCGCGCCGAGAAATACCGTTGAGAAATAACGAGGAGTATCGGAGTTTCACAAAATTGCATTTACTCTGAAACGACCTTGGGCCGATTGCAATAGCGCGTTGTACAACGCGCATCCTTTTAGTGAAGAACGTTCGCCTTTTGTTAAAATTTTGGTGGAGCTTGGGCAAACGCGAGCACTTAATTGCGAGCATTTAATTGAGACTTTCACAATACCAACGTAAAATACAACAACGACAACGCGAGAAAATAAAATTAACAATCAGGCAGAGTTGATTTTTACTTAACAACGTTTCCAAACGCCAATGGCAACGATTTATTCCATTTTCATGGGGTTTCCTTGCACGTACGCTATTGAGAATCTGAAGCACATCACCGCCACGTCACGCACACAAAACGTGCCGCATCTTTCGTAGAAACTCACGATCGCCTCTCTCAATGCGATATAATTTTTCACTCGTCGTCAATAAATGAAACGGGCATCGGCACGGCGATGCGCGGCTGGAGTGTCTACCCGGAATTGTGGAATATTAAATTCGCAATCGTATTACTGCCGCGACGGCGCTAGAATTTTTCAGGTCAGTTTATCACCGTGAAAAGGGAGAAAGAAAAAAATCGGTGTCGTGAAGCGATGAACGGTATTAGCACTTCGACGACATCATAGCTCGTTCAGATAAGTAATGACATTATGCAGCTAAATGCAGATAGCGAGCGTTGGGAAATTTACTAATAGATGATTTAGAATTCGTTTTATACCAACTAATAATTAGCAAACTTACAAAAGAATTCTTTATTTGGGGGGATAATATTGTGAATGAAAAAGGTTGAATATATTTTAATAGTTTAAAAGAATAAAGGTTTTTTTTATTAGTGTTTATTGAAAGTAAATAATTGTTTCTCACTATTATGTCGCATAGTTAAGAAATTTAAAGAAGAAGAATGCAAAATAATATATATTGTATAAATGAAGAGTCTTAAGCTCACAAATGTGAATACACATCTGAGTAACTAAAGCGACGTCTACAATGAGATTTTAAGATGTAAAACATTGACTAATCACAGTCGAATGAGAGAAAAATCGATTAGATTGATCAATTTTTTACGACTTAAAGTTTAAAATTTTATGCTTAACGGGGTTTAAACTAAACCTTTAGTGCTTCAATATTTTCAGTATAAATTTATATACATATTTTGTTCTGCAAATCATGCGTTGAAATTATTTTTTTGAAACACACACAATCATAAGTTGAACTGAGATAATAATATCATAAATTAAATTGGCAAAATATACGTATTCTATGTACAGATTCTTACATCATTTTTGTATTTATTTAAATTTTTTTTTAATGTTTTAAAAAAATTAGTTTAATTTTATTTGGAATAATTTTTTGAAATATTAAAAAAAATTGCATTAAAATGATTTCAATTGCATCGAGAAATTATTGTATAAAAAATTACTATATTATTTTTAAGGATCTTAACGTATTATGTTGCACTAAACACGTTGTAAACAGCAGGATCATTGTCATAACATGGTAACAGTGATCGCCTTCAATGATTCCGTCTTAGCATGTCACCAAACAAGAACAAGCGTCATATTAGTTTATCGAAGTTTACGGTTTGGTTTCTAGCGAAATATCTGAATACACAAATCCATCGCGGCCCGGGGTTATCGCTTAGACCCAAGAGATTTGTTGCCACTAAGAATAGATTCTATGAATATCGAGTGCTAGAGACGATTTACCATCCTGGAATATCTAGATTGTGCGAGAACGACATCTCCGTGTTATTCTCACACTTTTTCCCGATGGAGCAATTGTCAACGCGCTATACCTATACGTATATTGTATATAATCGACCCGTTCTCAATTATATTTCCCTATGGGCAATACTCGATATTTGTACGTGCAACGTCAACAATCAAAACTGCAAAGGGTTCTGTTTCAAATTAAAGACTCAAAAATCGCAGTGTTAAAAAATTTTAAATAGAACACGATTAACAAAAAAAAAACACGAAACAGTCGTTTATTCTTTTCACAGCAAAATTGATTTCTCCAAAGCGTTGTAATTTTTTTCAATAAAATCAGGCAAAAATGTTGCTTGTTGTTTTATTGTATTGCTCATTATCTGTTAAAAGTCTCGATAAAAGAAATAATAATATGTGATAAATATAATTGGAGGTTCATATCAAAATAAAGGCAACGTTTAATAATTCGAATATTGTCGCTTATTATTGTCACGGATACTCTGTCGATGTTTATTGTTGTCACGGATATTCTGTCGATGTTTAAAATGGGCGGAACGTAATTAATTGTCCATTAACGCGGTGTAATATTAAATACTATTAATGTCGATGAATCGTTTTAATACATAAACTATCAAATAATAACTAATTTGATTCAATTCTATATACAACTGCCGCTCTAGTGTTGCGCATCGTACGATATAAAAGAGTACAGAATCGAAACTACACACACGCCACTTTTCTTCGCTGTTCACATAAAGTTTTACACGTTTGGAACTTTACTGTTTGTACGTATTCTTTCTCGTTTGCTGACAGTCTGGCGCACTATCATTACGCCCCGGGATAATAGATTTCGTACAGCTACTCTTTGTATTAATGGGGTTACTGTGCCTGAACCAATTCAAGTACTATTACTTCCGTTCATTTATCAAGAATTGTTAATAATTATAAGGTTGCATGGCTCTATATTTATTGCGTTTACGATGATATCTTTTAAGAGAAAAAGAAAAAAGAAAAAACTTTCAGAAGATCTCGAGAGATCTAAGAATATACATACAATATATGAAAGAAAGTAGTATACATAATTTGAGATATAAATGTATATAGAATGTTATATTATACATGAGAAATGTAACAAGAGTTGAGAAATGAAACAAGACTTCTACTTGAGCTAGAGATGTTAACCTTCCGTCGTTCTCATATCCATTTAAAAGATAAAGAGACTAGACGAAATACATGTGAATACGTTTTCAAAACGAAGGTATTTGTATATAGGAATATTATCCTCACAGTTTTTATGAAATTCCTGCAGGTGCCGAGATCTCTGATTTTCTATTTCGATGGTTCTCGTAAAATTTTATTATCCGCAACATCGAGTTCTATCTGAATATCTACATGGCTGTTACACATCTCAATCGTACGTATATCTCACAATTCTTTTGAAATATCCACTATCAAAGTCATACTTTATGTAACAAAGATTGAAACTTGTAAAAATGCATTGAAAGAATTATTGGATATTTCTTTTTTGTATCGTATTAATGTATATCAGTGCAACGATTTAAAGTATATATAAAAATACGATCTATAAAGAAATGTCTAAATAAACACAAAGATAGTAAAAATTTGTATAATATATCTTATATTATTTTGTGTTTCTTAAATTTATTAATTATGTGTATGACATGTTTTTTTAATTATCTGATCTTTACGTTCTGTATCTGTTTATTGATTTCTGCCATTTGCTTTTTCTAAACTTGTCCTTATATTAATTGTATTGTAATTACATATTTCCATTAAATTTGCAATCTATTTTAGCTACATAGAAACTCTTCGCGCTTATCAATTCTCTTGGGTTATAATCTTTACTTGCATCTCTATCGCATTATCTTTTATTCGTTTTAGTCATTTATCGTCTTATCGCTCATCTCATTCTTTGTTATACAATGCTTTTTTTAAGATAGAACCTCGAGAAATGTTTTAAAAACATTGCTAGTTATTAATTAATGTACACGTGTAAATGAATGAATCCTTTCTACTATTTCTAAAGAATGTATTCTTCTTATTTTGGAAAATCCCATGAAGCATTTCCCTGATTAAATATATCTTCTTGAATCTTATTTTGCAACATTTTAATATAAACTCTATATATATATATA